AATTAAGGAAGAAAAACAAAGAAAAGGCTGAGGTCCACCAAATGTCAAAAGAACTGGGCTGAAAATCAGTGGGAATGGCTCTGATGACACGATGAATACAAATTTGACATTGTTGGAGATCTTGTTAAAATTGATGAATTATGAACAGAAAAGGACCGTCAGTTTGATCCACCATGAAATAACATTTGGAAAACATCTGACTTCTTAGTTGTTATTTATCCACATTGTTTTTATTTTATTTGCTAGATTTCCATTTATGTTTACATGTTTCAGTAGATTACTGCAACTGTTTCCCATTTTCTTAGCAAAATATTAAGAAATGAGGGATGGCTCATGACCTGTGCACAGTACTGTACTTAAAAAGTAAAATATTTAATATCAGAAGAAAAACAACTCACCTTTTGACTTTGTGCAGCAATACAACAAGAACAGGAGGAACATGAAAACGATCATTAGTCTAAAGATCATCAGAACAACAAATGAAGAGCTTACAGGATCAAGCACATCTGTTGTAAAAAAAACAAAACATTAACTGCTACCATCTTGAAACTTTTCCTCAGAATGAAAAGTTCTCTACAGTCTTTAACACACCTGAGTGAAATACTTCAGTTTGACATCACTCAGGCCAATCTTTGTTACATTCAGAATCTAGTTCTAGTCCCGCTCCTTATCCACTGCATTATATTACTGTAAAATGCCATCGTCCTTGTGAACAGAAGCATTTTTAAAGCTGCTATTTTAGTGTTTAGTGTTTATAAGCACAGTGTAAGCACAAAGGGGTGAAATATCAGCTTCCTTTTGTTCTTTGCAAAACTGACACTAACTTTCTCCCTTCACACTCCCACTCAGTGTCTTCTCCAGGATCTCACATCTGATTATTATCTTGACTAGTCTGCATATTTGAGGCCAAATGTGTTGCAATATCTCAAAAACTGTGAATTACTGATCCAGGCATAAAACTGAAAATAAAAAACGTTTCTACATTTTGTCTTTCTATGACACTCACTGATGAAAAGCTCACCATTTTCATCAATGATGAGTGGATCACTGTACTCTGTGTAGTAGACTGGGTGTCCTCTTCCTCCTCTGCACCTGTAGAGTCCTTCCTGTGAGACACTGATTTGTCCTTCTGAAGGGAACTGCATCTGCATCTGAACAGCATCTTGTGTGGTCAGAGGTTCAGATGAGTTTACATCTCTGTACCAGTAGTATTTCCATCCAGATGATGAGTTCACTGAGCAGCTAAGGGTCACACTGCCCCCTACTGGAATGTCTCTCACATCAATAGTTATTTGGGCCTTTGGGTGATCTGCTGTTGAGTTTAAACAAAGACAGAAAGAAAATAGATATTACACCACACACAGGCCAGGATTACACTACCCTGATGTTATGTGCCTTCATTTTGCATTTTTCTTTACCAGTAGGCCGCCATTGTTATTTACTTCTCAATGCACTCTGGGTAACCTTTCCAGTTTGAACCAGAGCAACCCGAGAGAGAGAATGAAAATAGTCAACTGCACTTAGTTTAGATGAAGATGAAAACAATCCGTCACACGAGGACAAGAGAGTGAGGGAAAATTACTGGTGTCTATGCGGCTACTGCTTGCCAATGACAACGGCGACTGAGAAGGTTTGTTGTAAAGCACCAAAACTTTTTGAAGCCGTATGTCTTAATCCAGATGTTCTTTGGGCAGCGCTTGTTAGCCTCCATGACCAGTATCCGGTCTTTAAGAAAGGGGACCAGAGGGTGTGTTCCAACTACAGGGGAATCACACTCCTCAGCCTCTCTGGGAAAGTCTATGTCAGGGTGCTGGAGAGGAGAGTCTGCCTGTTAGTTTTTTCAAATACATTTTTATATTTTTTGAGCAATGATAAACCCAGCTGGATTTTACTAAAATTGAGGAGATTTTTTGGTGATTGTAATGACAGTGCATTAATACATTGTCATACTTAAAGGGAAAACTAAAAGTAGACAAAAGTAGTAAGATCAGCTTAATCTAATAATTTCCAGTTTTTTGTTTTGTTTTTGTTTTTCAAGCCAAGAGGACACGGTTGGGTTTCGAGCCATATCTGAACTGAATTCTTGGCCAGATCTGTTTCTGACTGAATATTCCCGAGACCTACTGGATTGACGTGTTTATCAGAATCAGAATCAGAATACTTTATTGATCCCTGGGTGGGAGGTGTTATCCAACATTGTCTTTATCTTGGACAGCATCCGCCTCTCCGACACCACCTTGAGGGAGTCCAGCTCCATCCCCACAACATTGCTGGCCTTACGGATTAGTTTATTAAGTCTGTTGGCATCTGCGACCCTCAGCCTGCTCCCCCAGCATGCAACAGCATAGAGGATCGCACTGGCCACAACAGACTCATAGAAAATCCTGAGCATTTTCTGGCAGATGTTGAAGGACCTCAGTCGCCTCAAAAAATAGAGACGACTCTGGCCCTTCCTGTAAAGTGCTGTGGTGTTTTTAGCCCAGTCCAGTTTATTGTCAATGTGTACTCCAAGGTATTTATAGTCCTCAGATTTGCCAACCAATTAATATTTTAAAGTTGCAGACTTTTTTCATCTCTTAAAACCAGCTTGTTTCTTAAATTCCTTATTTCATGTTTCTTGATTTCACGAGACAGATAATTTATTGGAACAAACTCACTGAATAAAACAGTTATGAGATGGGAAACAAAATATATTTTTGGTTGGTAGGTTTAACTTGAGTAATCAGATGTGTATTTATGCATGAGAAAGTTGATGCTCTTTGGTGATGCAGTTTGTCTGTTTTTAATTGAAGAAAGAAAGGCTAATCTGCTGGGTTTTTTTAAGTGCTTCAGCAGTATCACTTCATCAATAAATCCCTGACCTGGTATGAGGCTCAGAGCTTCTGCAGATTAAAGTACACCGACTTAGCAACTATAAATAACATGGATGATGAAAACCAGCTGATCAACACACTGGACGTGACATCGTCATGGATTGGACTTTACAATGGACAGACCAACAGGTGGCTTTGGTCTGATGGCAGCGGTGTAACGAGCTTCACCCAATGGAGCCCTGGTGAACCAAGCAACTCTGGAGGGGTTGAGGCATGTGGACAGATGTATGATAACGGCCTCTGGAATGACGCTCAGTGTGGATTAGCCATGGCTTATGTGTGTTATGAAAGTGAGTAAATGACACAGTGATCTTTAAAGCAAATGTAAACTGATGCAATTACATACAGTGATTAAGTTGAAATAAAACCTTCAGGATTTTGATATGAATTATTTAATGGTGAAGATAAATATAAATTTATATTTCTTATATCTAAAACAAAGAAAGAAAAATCATTAGCTGGGTAGCACACAAAATGATAGCCCAGGTGTGATTCTTTTAAATGTGTGCACATATATGAATCAATACACAATAACAATGGTTTAAGGCATTTTTTTTAATATTAGTTTTTTGTCACTAGCCACACTATGGCCCTCCTAAATGTAAACCTGGCTCTAAAAATCTTACCCGATTTCTACTTTTCTTGGAAGAAAAAAGATGTCTAACTTCCTTTTATTCCTCTCTCCTTGTATGTTTTTAGTTCAGCAGGATGGCAGCAAGAAGTATGTGGTTTACACACAGGGACAAACCTGGCCAAACAGTCAAGATCTGTGCAGGCAGAAGCACACTGATCTGGCATGTGTGCATACAGCACAGGAAAATTTAGCGATTGCTGCAGTTACAAACGCAGTGTGGTTCGGTCTGTTTAAAGATTCCTGGTACTGGTCAGATGGAACAAAGACCTCCTTCAGGTACTGGAAAAGAGGCGGAAGTTATAGTGGAAACTGTGTTTCTGTGGAAGGATCACAGCAGGGACGCTGGGTACCAGCTGACTGTAACCAGAAAGCAACATTCATGTGTCAAGGAGGTAAGTTCCTGAAATACACAAGCAATAAGTCATTTCTTGGAAAAAGTGTGATGTCAAAACTCGGATAGAAAAATAATAATATTCATAATAAGGATCGCAATCAACACAACGCTCAGATGAACCAAAACAACTTTCTTCTTCCTTTCCTGGATGTAAGAGCATTCATCAAGACAGTCTAAATAATGGCTGAGATTATATTTCTGGGTTTGTATTCTGCAGGTCTCAAGCTAAAGAAGATGGTCATAAAGATGAAGGTGCAGTCTGATGTGGATCTCACTGACTCTACTACTTCCAGCCTATTCCTACAGAAGGTACAAACATAGCTTCAAGGGTCCACCAGGGGAAACTGGTTATACTGCAAGAGTTCATAAAATTACAGTAAACAGAACATCAACCAAAAACTACCTACAGAAAAAAATAATACCAGTATGCAAAAGTCTTGAGTAGAGTCAAAAATATAAAAAGAGTAATATTTTCAGTGAAGCACATCTGAAGCACTTTGTTATTTATGACATCATGAACTCATCCCTGAGGTCTTGTCAATTCTATTTTTATACATAATACATTATGGTCTGTGTGCATTTGTTTTTAAAAGTAATAGAAACTAAATAAATAAATATTAAATTCAACACTTAAGTATCTCCTCAAAGTCCAACTGATGATTTAAAAATGGTTTAATTATTATAGTTATCTTAATGTTACACAGAGAGGTATGAAGCTGTGTGCTAAATCTGGAGAGTATGTCAAACAAATACTCATTTATGTATTTGTATTTGGCAGAAGACAGTCACTCAGCAGAATGGTACAGTAGAAAAAAATAAAATAAAATAATAAAAAATAAATAGAAAAATAGTAAGAGCAAAATATTAATAAGATGTAGTAAAAGAAAAAAGAGATTTTCAATTAACTGACTATATATATATGTATGTATAAATATATGTACACATTAAATAAAGAAAATAATATAGTTATATTATATTAATATATATATATATAAAGTATATATATGTATGTGTGTATATATAAATATATGTACACACTAGTGATTAAGTAAAGAAAATCTTAAATAGGAATGTGTGGGAAGGGCAGATGTGCACTTTTTTTGTGGAGTGGAGTGACCAGTGCAGATTATACAGAGTACTTGTGAAGCTGCAGGGTAGCTTCTGTGTTGTGTGTGTTTAAGTGTTGTGGTTGAGGTGTCGTATGGCTTGATGGTAGAAACTGTTTTTAAGTCTTGTAGTCCGAGCAGACAGACTCCTGTAACGTCTGCCAGATGGTAACAAGGAGAACAGCTGATGTGCTGGGTGGCTGTGGTCCTTGATGATGCTGTGTGCTTTACGGAGGCATCGCTGGAGATAAATGTCCTGAATGGCAGGAAGCCTCGTGCCAGTGATGTGCTCTGCTGCCTTCACCACCCTCTGTAGTGATTTACGGCTGCTGGCAGAGCAGCTTCCGTACCAAACTGTGATGCAGCTCGTCAGCAAGCTCTCAATTGCACACCTGTAAAAATTTGAGGTGATGTTGGCGTTCATGCCAAACTTCCTCAGCCTCCTCAGGAAGTAAAGCCGCTGGCGAGCTTTCCTGATAGCAGTGTCTGTGTGAAGGGTCCAGGAGAAGTCCTCAGTGATGTTGACTCCAAGGAATTTGAAGCTGCTGACCCTTTCGACCTTGACACTGTTGATGGGTGTCAAGGACCAAGCAGTAAAGCATAAAGGACACAGGTGGTTTTAATTCAAAAAACGGGTTTTATTGACCCAAAAATATATTTAACAAAGCCAAAACTTAAACAGGCAGACCAATAAAAGAGGTCAACTCAATAGACTAAACTAAAGCCTCAAACAAACATATGACAAACTGACCTGCTGAAATGACACACAGGGGAACTTAAATACCAGTTTAGCTAAACCAAATGACACACACGGGCAGTGCTTTAAGTGGCCCAAAAGAGGTGCCGGTACTCTATTTTTTTTCCGCCTCCCCTGAGGTAACAACAACTATATTGAATGGGTTTTATATACAACAGTCAACAGACAACCTTATACAAAATAATAAATCATTTTATTAGTTTGTGGATTTGCTTGAGCTAGAAAGAGCTACTGAACATAAATAAAATGTGCAAAAAGGTATTGAAATTTTTTTTTTAACAAAATGTACATAAAATAAATTATAAACTAATTTGTATTTTGCTCTCTCTTGAGTCCCTGCTGGTATCAGCAGCAGCACTTGTAAAGTGTACCTGCAGAGCTTGGTAGTTCTCCCATACTGCTTTCACTGTTCTCTCACTTGAAGCAACCCAACGCACTGATAAAACACGGCCTATCACAAGGAGACGTTGTCCAACATTGTGAGCACTCTCGGTTAACTCCCTTTGGTTTTTTGGTGATGCATGGTAGAGGGAGTAAAGCTGATCTAAGAATATTTTAAAGTGGTTGATTCCTCCTACCTCCTTCAAAACATCACAAACTGCCAGTTCCAGTCTGTGATTGGAACAATGCCAGACAAACAGGTAAGGGAATTTGGAACAAAGCTGCGCAGCAACTCCTGCTTTCCTCCCAAGCATCACTGAGGCTCCATCACAAGCAAATGCCAACAAATGTTCCTGTAGGTAGTGAGGGTCAAAGCCATTATTATGAAGACATCCTAACAGTGCTTCAGTGATGTCCTTTGCTGTGGTCCCCTGCAGCTCAATCAGTTCAAAAAATATTGTGTCTGGATTTTCACTGGAAATAGCTGACCGCAGGCACACGACAAGCACAGACTTTCCACTTATTGTAGTGGATTCATCAATGAGCACACACAATTTTCTTTCATTCATCACTATGTCATTGACTACCTTCTTTTTCATTTCAGCTGCAATGTGATCCAGTATATTTGCACATGAGTTATTAGAGTGCAAAACTCTGCCCATCTTGACACCATTTAAGACTTGCAACTGGACATCTATTGGCATGTCTGTAAAGGGACGCCCATGCTTGCCAATCTTATAAGCTGTTCTAAACACATTGCAAGTTGAAGCGTAGTCAGCCTTTCTCATATCTTCAATGTGTTTTTGCATTGTATTTTGTGTTGCCTTCTCTTTTATTTCAACTGCTTTCTTGTGATAAATTGAGTCTCTGTGCTCTTTTATTTTCTTTCGTAGTGAGTTTTGTTGTGCAGCCTTGTCCCTTCCAAAAGACGAGATTAAGCACCCACTCCACTCCTGCGACACTCTCTGCCCTTGCTGCATGTCCACGCGAGCACAAACTTGACTACACACACTACAACCCAACTTTTGATTTCTGCTGATCAGCCACTTGTAATTTGTGGAGAAATACCGGACTTGTGCTTGGGACCAACATTCTGGCCACTCATGCTCGCTAACGCGGCTGTTGTCATCGGTAGAAATGGTGTCATTCTCGTCCTCGTCGTCGCAAAAAGTGCCGTCGTCCGCGGCTGCGGCACTAGTGCAGCTTTCATTAGCTTGCGTCTGACCTGCAGCGATATCATTCTGGCTTGGTGGGGTGTCAGCCAGCGAGTCCTCTGATTCTGACCTTGTTCTTTTACTACTCAGAGTCTGAAGCCAGGAGAGCATATTAAGTGTTCATTGTTTTTGTATTTTAACCGAGCAGCTGTTTGCGCGTTTTACACACCCTCTCCGGACCACGTTGAGTTGTTGACATGACAACGGCAAAAGCGACGCATGCGCTTTTCACTTGTAAAACACATTGGTGTATGGGTAATGTAGTCTCTGCTCTCGGTGGGACGAATTAGGAAGCGTGCTTGTGAAGGGCGCTCTGAAAAGCGGCAGCGCAGCCAAACGATTATAACAGATGTGCAAATGAGAGTACCGGTACGCTAAAAGCACGTTCTGGGCGCATGGAGAGGTGGCGGTACTCTCAAGAGCTATATTTAGAAGTGGCGGTACTGAGTACCGGCGCGTACCGGCCCACTTAAAGCACTGACACGGGGGAAAACAAGATGGCTGCCATATAACCAACTAATACAAAACAATTAAACAAACATGAAACACCCCCCAGGCAATGAAGCATGTGGTGCAATCCAATTAGGCTGTCAGTGGTACTTCAGGTCTCCCAGCCCTTTGCCACACCTTTTGCCAGACAGGAGGAGAAGCCAACCCCCAGGTAACTCAAACAAAGAAAGATGTATTAATATAACATAAAACAGAACTTTGACCTTGCAAGGTTAATATGTGTGCACGCCATATAAACATTGGAAGGTGTGATGGAAAAATAAATACATTTAATAAAGAAACAATAAGTAGACTATTTTAAAGTAGTGACTGTAAATTAAACTAAAGTGAATCAACGGGTGGTGAGGTGTGGAGCTTACCATGTGTGGCATGCCATCACAATGTGGATGGGCTGGTGTTCCCTGACTGGTTGTTTCCCGTAGTCCACTATCATTTCTCTAGTTTTGCTGATGTTGAGAGTCTGGTTATTTTCCAGACACCACTCGTACAGCGCCATCACCTCCTCTCTATAGGCCGTCTCATCATTGTCTGTAATGAGGCCTATGATGGTTGTGTCATCCGCAAACTTGATGATGATGTTGGACTCGTGTTTAGGAACAGGGAATATAGGAGGGGGCTAAGCACACAACCCTGTGGCGTACCTGTGTTTAGGATGAGTGGTGAGGAGGTGTGCTTACCAACTCTCACCACCTGGGGCCTGTTTGTGAGGAAGTTTAGAATCCATCTGCAGATCGGTGTTCCCAGCCCAAGGTCGACGAGCTTCGTGGCAAGTTTTGAGGGGATGATGGTGTTAAATGCCGAGCTGTAGTCGATGAAGAGCATCCTTGCATATGTATTCCCTTTCTCCAGGTGAGTGAGAGTGGTGTCAAACAATTCTTTTCTTTGATGGTATTTTTCTTTTAGTTGGAAACAATCCTGAGAGATCAAGGGGTGACTGATGTCCAACTTAAATATGAACGTGTATTTCAACCTCAGTTGAAGACCACTGAGAACACGGGTACGAGAGGCCTCCGTACAGGGAGCATCTATCATGCTAACCTTAATTTGAAACATACCAATCATTTTGTGCAAAGTAATTTAGTAAAAGAACAAACAAACAATCAGTGAAAAGGTTTTTTTCCTCTCTTTACAGGATGCTGAGTGCAGAAGTGCCAATGTCGTTTTACTGCAACATTAGTGGTTATAGTGGTTTGTAGAGCTGATGGATGGAAACAGATGATTTAAAGATTGTTGCGTTCCCCAGCAAATTTATTTACCCTATACTTGTGTAGTTCATAACAGCTGATGTATATTCTAACCTAAGTTATTAAGTGAATTAAACTTTTACTTACTTTAAGAGTGTAATTAAAACAGTAGATCTTGTCCTCATTTTCCCCCTAAGGTTTTTGGTCATAATATTGTAACTATGGGTGGGAAGAAGAACCTATGCAACATAACATTAAATATTGTAATAATATAAACTCAAAATCAAAGTGCTTATAATAGATGCAAATCACTTTCAAGCTTTGAAAACTTTGCATTACAGTGCTTTGGACATGGCATCTAAGTGCTTTATTTTGAAAAGACTTTCAATTTTTAAAAAACAATTGTGTGAAGAAAATTTTTTTTCTGCTTCTTTCAGTCAGTAGAAAAAAAAACATATTTATAGCTGCAACCAGACTGCTCCATTACTTTGTAGTGACTCTCATGTTTTCATTTGGTCACCATATTGTTATACGATAGCCATCTCTCCTAATCTGTGTTTATGGAGGCATGTGTTCTGTCTACAATAAAATAACTCTCTGAATGTTGAACCTTCTTATCCAGTGTTTTTCTGTTGTATTTATCCCCCCTTGCCTCACAGCACAGGTCTGAGAGAGATCATTTTTAAAACTAACAGTCTGAGATCACCCGGACAGGTAAATCTCAGCCACGATAAAACCTTTCCAATAACTCTGGTAAGATGTTCTAGTCTATCCCAAAAAAAATACAGTCATCCACAGTGGCTTCATGTGTCTGGCCCGTCGGTGTGTGGGAGCTGAGTCTTCAGTCCTGCAGAGAATACATGCAGGAAGAGGTGGAACTTCATTTTTATGGGCACACAATCGGCCAATCACATGCAAAGACTGAGATCACACCATTATGTGAAAGAAGGGCAGACGTTCTGAAGACGGTGGTACAGGCCAGGTATGCAGAGAGATGGGGAGCTGCATTTAAATGCAAGCGTGTCAGAAAAAGTAACAAGTGAACACATAAAATGAGCAGCATCTGACTACATTTCACTGATGTTGGAGACTGCAAAGCTGAATGCAGGATTTATAAAATTAGGAGATGGATAATGTGATACGCATTTTTATTTTTTAGCCATTTTCCATTGTGGAGAATAAAAGGTTTCAAACTTTTCCAGGCTTTAAACCTCATACGTTCTCCCTATTAGCAGTGAATGCATAAAAACAAGGCTTTTATGAAAACACTGAATAAAAAATTTCTTCTTGAAAAAGACTAAATGATGTGTGCATGTAGCACAGAGGTATTGCTCGTGTCTGAGCGCATAAATGAGTCACTGGCCTGAATGTGGCATGAAGCCATTTATAATTCTTACTCAATTTGATCTGCTGCTCACCACAAATAAGCAAGTAGAAAAAAGTAGAAATTTTGGACTTTTATTTATATTTTCACAGGTTTTACACTTTTTCCTACTGATAAAAACCTCCCGTATGATCATTCATACTACACAAAGTAATTATGAAATAAACAATTAACTTGTAGAACCAAAATGTTCCCGGTATTTGAGGCAAGAGGGAGTATGTTATGTTATGTGAAGGTGCAGCCAGAGCTCTGTTCTTGTTGTGTTTCTGGGTGTAAAATAAAGGACTTCACATTTAACTTTAACTTGTGATCTCCTCATAAAAAAATCTGCCTAACATGTCTCTGCAGCAGCAGGAGACAATAAACATGTGACAGTATGTTGTGGTCAGATCTTGTTGCTTTGTCTGTGTAAAAGGAAACACTTATAAAAAGTGTTTGTGGTCTTCACAGCTCTTTGGTATCTGCTGTGCTGCTGCTTCACTCTCTCTCTTTACAGAAAGTTGTAGAAGTTTTCAGACGTGTCACTGCTGGATGTGAGGATGGGAGCCACTTTGCTCTGTGAGCTGGGCCTATTCTGTGAGTACATCACTGACTCCTATTGTTTGATTCATACTGATCCATAAACATGTTTTAGTAAGAAGAACAGAGCATCAGTCATTTGTACCATTTCAGGTCATGTGATCAGAGGACTCTCATGTTTGTTACCAACATGGTTGTTTGTAGACTGGATTAGATTTTAGTGCACTGACTCAGATCAGAGTGGAGCTGGTTTAGTTTATCTAACAAAGGTTTGTTTAGTTTGATAATGTCTGAAGTCTCTGTCTTTATTGTAGTGCTCTGTACACTCCTCTGCACTGGACACACTCAAGGTGACTGAACAGTTTTCACTTTATTTTATTGACTTCTTTTTATTCATTTAGTAAAGATTCATCTCAATCTACTGCATCAGTTTTAAGCACTTTCTGGTTTTGCTCATTTTTGCAACACATTTATAATTTTTATGAACATGTTGCTTCTTGACTAAATAAAATAGAAGAATTTTGAAGATTTTCCTGCAAGTAGCAGGTTTTATGACATTAACACATGCTTCTTTTTTTTAAATGTATAGATCTGTTTTTCTTTAATTTTTATAACAGCAGATAAACCCAGGGCCACACTGACAGCAGGAACAACAATCATACCAGTAGGGGGCAGTGTGACACTGACCTGCTCTGTGCAGAGCTCTGATGGATGGAAATATGAGTGGTTCAGACGAACCCAAACAACCTCTGAAGTTCAAATCAGAGATCAACAAAACAGAGATATCAGAGTATCTCAAGGAGGAATCTACAGCTGCAGAGGAACAAGAGGAAACCCAGTTTACTACACTGATAGAAGTGATGATGTCACCATTGAGAAAACCAGTGAGTTCAGTCATTTAGTTTGAAATATACATTCACTCATGATTATCAAACATACAATGTGAAGTTTTCTGTGTTGATTTCATGTTTCTGTTTGTATCTCAACTGTTAATATGTGTGAACAGTTTCCATTAAAGTTGTTGTAAAAATGTCACCATTGAGATAACCTGTGAGTTCAGTAATTTAGTTTGAAATATACATTCACTCATGATTATCAAACATACAATGTGAAGTTTTCTGTGTTGATTTCATGTTTCTGTTTGTATCTCAACTGTTAATATGTGTAAACAGTTTCCAATAAAGTTGTTGTAAAACAACGACCCAACTGGCCTCAGATATTCAGAGGTGAGACGATCACTCTGACATGTGAGGTGCAGGAAGGAGGTGAAACCACTGAGTGGGAGTATGAATGGAGAGGACCCAGGACACCCACACAGTGGACACACAATAATGATGTGACATTCAGAGTTTCTGAGTCCAGCAGTGGAGACTACATGTGTAAGAGTCGACGCAGAGATGACTCATATTCTTCAACAGAGTGGAGTGAAGCCTTCACATTGTCAGCATCAAGTAAGTCATGTTTGTTGTGTGAGCCCAGGATGAATTCAATGGTCTACAAAGGATGTTACATTGTTACATACAAAGAGCTACAGCTGATAGTAGCTCATTGTTGGCAGTTTGTCACCACTTTGTCTCCTGAACCTTCAGCTGGTATAGGGACAGCAATGCTGACCTGCTGCTCCATAACCTGAGGACCATAATGATATAAATAATGATAAAAAATGTTTTTTGTAAGCAGGTGTCACGATCCTGGGTCTTATGACCCAGTGTTTTGAGTTTTAGTTCATTTTGATGTTCATAGTGTATGTTTAAGCTTATTAGGTTTCCTATGTTCATTTGCTTATTAGCTCCCCCTTGTGTTTTCAACCCCTGTGAAGTCTCCCTTGCCCTTCATGTGTTTCATGTCTGTTGTCTTATGTTGTCATGTCTGCCTCTCATGTTTCCTGTTTTATTTTGAAGAAATCTCGTGTTTTTTATATTATGGATTATGTTTTGAGTCCTTTGTTGTACTGTTTCTTGTTTCCCTAGATTTCAGTTATGGTTATCATAGGTTTAGTTCTTTGGCTTTGTAATATGGCTTCCCTGTGTTCAATGTTGTGTCTACTGTGACCTCTTTGTACCATGTTTCTGGTCCCTATAGTCTGTCTTCTCAGTTGCTGTTAAGTTTGCATGTTTAGAGTTCAGTCAGTGTGTTTCCTGTTTTACTTTGAAGGTCCATGTCTCATGTGAGTGTTTCTAGTTTTGCTTCCCTTGTCTCGTCCAGCCTGATTACTCCCAGCTGTGCTCTCCTTCTGTGTCTCATTCCCTCGTTATCCCTCTGTGTATTTAAGCCCTGTGTTTCTCTTTGTCAGTGTTGTAGTCTCCCTCATGCTGTGTGTGATTCTCCCCGTGTCTCCTGGTATACTTTATGATTAGCTTTCCCAGTTTAGTTTTGTATTGCCTGTGTTCTATTTTTCCAGCAATTAAAGCTGTGCTTTTGAGTTCAAGTTCTGTCCCCGTGAGTTTGCGTTTGGGTCCTCTCCTGCCTGCCACACAGCCGAAACATGACACAAGGCAGATTTGGTTTGTGTGTGTGCATGTGTGTGTATACATGTTTAGACATCTTTGTAAGGACAAAAAATTGATATGCTACTATATTTGTGGGGACCAAGAGTCCATTGTGGGGACAAAATGCTCGTCCCTGCAAGTTTGAAGGTATTTTTAAGACTCAAAATGTGGTTTTAGTGTCAGGGTTACAATTAGGTTATGGTTAGGTTTAGGCTAAGGGTCAAGGTTAGGGATTAATTTTTAATGGTTAGGGTTAGGGTAAGGGGTTAGGGCAAACATGTCAATGAAGGTCCTCACTAAGACAGCTGAACGAGCGTGTGTGTTTGTGTGTCTTGTGTAAATGTTGTAAGGTAAAAAAAAAAGTGTAATGTGATCTGCAGGAAGTTACAGCGAGATGAGCAGGATTTTTTTTTCCTCTTACAGGAAGGCAAGTGTTGATTTCTTCTCATGATGCAGGACGAAGTTGTCTAGCCAAAGTAAACTGTTGCAGTCTATAAATGAAAAAAAGCATCAAAATGAAACTATGTAAAAGGCATTACAGCTATGTATTAGAGGAATAAGTAGGGATGGGTATCGTTTAGGTTTTATCCGATACCGGTGCCAAATCGGTACTTTTGAAACGGTGCCGGTGCTCAAACCGGTGCTTAAAGAATGGAGAACACAAAATTGGTCCAAAAACCTCTCATGTTCAGCTGTTTTTTTGTAAAAAGATAACAATGTTAGCCTTTTCTGCAGCTATGGGGCATATATGGTATCACTCTTGGCTGGAAGCAGTGCTTAAACAATGGAAAAAACACAAACTTTGTCCAAAAACCTCTCATGTTTAACTGTTTCCCTCTTTTTCTTTGGTCATTTTAGCCTTTTTGGCCAGGGTGAAGGGAGTATCTGCCATCAAACAAGAAGACAGCCGCATGTAGCTATGATGATGTTTGCTAGTTCACCTTACATGCATTAATGTAATAACGTGGTTAGCCTACTCAACGTAAATTACACACGAACAACATTAAGCTACTCACGCAGAGAAGAACGGCTGCTGCTGCCATCATCATCCTCATCATTTCTGCTACACTGGCAGGGCTAGGGGCCAGGACTCTCCTCTTCGGGTTTTTGGGGGATGTTGCTAACTCCGGGTCCGATAACAGGCAACCCACAGTAGATGTGCTCGGTGTGAGGTCTCGCAGCAAGCTATCAAATACGGCGCATTTCTGGGCTTTTAAAAAAAACGCTATGCGTCGCCAGGTGTTTCATCGGATTTGAGGTGTTACCTCCTTTGACAGTATCACAGTATCAGCTTAAAGCACTTGTTGCTGCTGAGTTTGCATATTTTGCTGTGAAGTACAGCCAGACTTTTGACCGCTTCGCCTTGGACATTTTTAATCTGTAGCTCTGCTCTAACAGAACGTACGTACCTGGCCCCGCCTACTATCCTGGGAAACGTAAAATGATTGGCTAGAAGTGTATCACAGCTCAGGAAAAAAAAGCACCGAAATGTGCGCTGCTTTTCGGTCTGGTTACTACCGTTTATGTCAGAACCGGTGCCATCATGGCACCGGACACCAGTATCCATCCCTAGGAATAAGTGTGTGAGAGGGAATGACATCAGTGTTAACAGTTTGGGCCATTGCACTATGTTGCATATACTCACACTGTTACAATTTGGTAATTGGAGGAGGAAGACCAGAG